GAGGATGTCTCACGCGATGGCGCTGGTTTGGAATTCATCGCCAAATTCGCTCGATTCGCCGGATTTCCCGGATCTCGCCTGAAACGGAACAGGGGGGGCGGTCGGCCGGGCCATTGCCTCGCGCGCTGGGGGTCAGGTTGACGTGAGCTCCACAGAAAAACTCCGTCAACTTACGAATGCGAATGTCAATGCGAATGCCAACGCTGGTGATAAGAAACCACGGGAGGCCACGGGCACCAGACATATTCCGGATCTGGCAATCCACCTACTAGTTTCTTCGACAACTTATAACGAAGCCCAGCAGGCAATCTTGTTAGGGAACAAGCAAGCAAACCACCTGAATGCTCGAATCTCGATCCTCCTCGATGCTCGAGCCTCTTCTTCCTCCTCCTCCTCCTCCTCCTCCTCCTCCTCCTCCTCTTTAAGTTGCTTTCAAAGCGGGACCGTCTCGAACCTCGATCGTGGTCGTTCGATTCTCGGGCATCATCAACCTTTCGCTTGCCTGCCGCATCCGCCGCGGCAGCCTGAGGGAGGAGGTAGAGGGGAGGGAGGAGCTAGGAGGAGAACTGGGGCATTCAAAAGTGCACCAAAAGGGCCCCGAGAGGCGCCCATGAAGCCTCCAAAAGGTCCCCAAGAAGCTTCCGAAAGACCCCCAAGAGGCTCCCCCGAGGCACCCAAGACGCTTCAAGAGGCCCCCCGGGGCCGCCAAGAGGCCCCCAAGACGACCTAAGAGGCCTACAAGAAGCTGTCAAGAGACATCTGAAGAGACTCCGAGAAGCGTCCAAGAGGCCTCTGTCCTGTCTGCTCGCCTCCTCCTCCTCCTCCTCTTCCTCCTCCGCCTCGTCTTCCTCATCCGCCTATTTCTCCTCCTCCGCCTCCTCCTCATTATTCCTCCCTCCTCCCTCTCTCCTCTCCCTCCTACTCCTCGGATTCCTCCTCCATTCTCCCCCTCTTGGGGCATGACGCCTAACCCAGCCCTGTATTCCACTGCATGCCCCCCCACATCCCTGATCAAAGAAACTCTTCCGGGCATCGTTTCTGGATGGGCTGTTGGGGTTATTTTTGATCGCGACCGCAGACGGGCACCCGCGCGGCGTCAGAAGGGTCGAACAGCAAGCGAGAGCCGGAAGCACAGCGCAACTGAAAAAAGGCAGTTTGGGTTACTTTTTGCGTCGCAGCCGCAGGCGAGAGTGCCAGCGGCGAGTAAGGTCCGAGCGGGCCGCGCAAGAGCCGAATTGCCTAACGCCGGCGGGCCGGCGACCTAAGCAGCACCTAAGCGGGCGGGCCGGCGTGACGGGGGTGCGGGCTGCAGCTGCCATGGACCAGGTCCAGGAGCGCGCACGTGCACGAGTAACCAACCAGGGTTGGAGCGCAGCCAAAATAGCGCGGGGGAGGTACCAGGATGTGACCAGGAAGGCCGCCAACAGTACCCTGCAACAGCTGCCAGGACCATACTGGCCATGAAACTGGTGCATAGGGTGGCGCCACCAAAGTCGCACACCGAGACTCCTGAAGGGAGTACTAATCCTGCATACAACCGTCCACGGGGTGTTCCCGGGAGGTCCAGCGAAGTAGCCAGGGAAACGACGGATGTAATCGACACCGTAACTCGCCTGAACCACCGGATCAGGAAAAGCCAAGCGCACTCACGAACAGGGACGCCGACGTCTGAGAGCTGACCAGGACCAGGGCAATCCACGTCTCAGGCACGGGGTGCTGTTGGGGTCACGCGAAGCGGTTCGAAATCTGGCCAAACGCCCGGCCCGCCACGCGGACACGCCTGGGGGTGCCAGGGGTGCTGAAGGGATGATTATGTATAACGACAAGGGGGGGAGAGAGAGAGAGAGAGAGAGAGAGAGAGAGAGAGAGAGAGAGAAAAAAAAAAAAGAGAGGGAGAGAGAGAGAGAGAGAGAGCCCACTGGCGGGCAGATCCCGACCCAGCGCGGGGCGCGGGTGGATGTCACCGCAGTGCCTCACATGTGCAAGTACAGGTTGGTTTTCATGACGTTGTAGAGCAAATATCGTCGTTGACAAGGGGTTGAGGAGGAGGAGGAGGAGGAGGAGGGGGAGGAGGAGGAGGAGGCTTACGCTCCAGGTGCTTGCGCTTCGCAGCCTGCCTGAGAGAAACGGGAGCAGGAGCAAGAGCGGGAGCAGGAGCAGAAGCAGGAGGAGGAGGAGGAGGAGGAGGAGGAGGAGGAGGAGGAGGAGGAGGAGAGGAGGAGGAGGAGGAGGAGGGAGGGAGGAGGAGGAGGAGGAGGAGGAGGAGGAGGAGGAGGAGGCTCGAGCATCGATGAGGGCAAGAAGAGCCAGGAGGTCGAGAGGGCGAGCGTAGGGTGGTTTGAGAGGGCGAGCGCTGATGCCGGCGACCAGGACACCCTGCGGCGAGGCCGCCGCCGCGTGGGCGGGCGTGGGGGGGGGCCTGCTGGTAGCACTGCATGCCAGGGTCCCTGCAGCACATGCTGAGGTGACAGTCGTCTAGGCTCCCGTTTCCCGCGCACACCTCGGCGGCGCCCCAGGCGCGGGGGGAGGGAGCGAGAAGAGGTGAGGAGGAGGGTGCAGGTCCTCCAAGCTTCTGCAGACGGCGGGGAAGCAGGACCAATGCGCGCCGATACCAGTGGGCCATGGCGCGCCGATACCAGCGGGCAGGCCCGCGAGGGAGCGCCCGCGCCCTACAGCCCACCATTGGGGGGACGGCTCCGAGGCACGGGGGCGCGGTCGCCGGGGAGCGGGCGCTGTCCTGCCCCGGCGTCACTGCGGTGCGCCACTCATGCTGGGCACCGTGGCAGCGACACCGTGCGCCAGTGGTAATGCCCCAGATTTGGATACCCGAAATGGGTACGGAAAGAATGGGCACTATGCCCAACAACAAATGTTGTCCCAAGCCAACAGCGGCCGCTGTTGGGCGGGCGGCCTCCTGTCTCGAATGGACACAGGCCGCGGCGGCGCGGACAGCGAGTCCTGTTCAGAATGAACAGGAACTGCTGTTGGGCATTGTACCCATTCTTTCAGTACCCATTTCGGGCGTGCAAACCAGAGGACGGCTCTGGCACACGCCGCAACTATGACATCGTTCAACAAACCGGTCGAACCATGCACCCAGCAGCTGTGTGCTATGCATCCACTTTCATGTGGCAAAACTCGCGGTTGTTCACTCTGCTGGGCATCAACATCCTTCGATCCTGCCTCGAGGTTGCCACATTCGCGCGTGCATAACCACCATGCTCTGCTCCACATCTGATGTCGTCTGGCGCCAACTTCTACTCGCACGAGGAGCTACACTATACATCTGTCTTTGCGAAGTGCAATCTGATACGCGGTGTCGCGTCGAGCTTTAAGGCTCCGACTCTTGCAGCGATCAGTCACTACATGCATTGCCCTCCTGACAACAACACTTCGGAATTGAATGTAGCAGCTTGACAACTCCAAGTGCAGGCTGCCTTCTTGGAGAGGTCGCATTCTGCTTCACGCGCTCGCCTGGTGTGCTCTAATGTCGCTTCTGTGGGCATACGGCGGGCTGCATCCTTTTGCCTCGGAGCCCCTGAGAGTCCCTCCTTACTTACCTCCCCTCGTCTGCTGCTGCTGCTGCTTCTACTGCCCCTTGTAATGGGGGGGCGGGCTGCCGAGGGACACGCGTCCTGGACACCCTGGGGCTTTCCCTGGGGCTGGCTTTTTACATATCGAGTCGTTTCTGGACGGTCCCTGAGCCAGGGATGCAGAAGACGGGGGAAAGGCTCCCCCCTTTCCTTCTCCTCCTCCTCCTCCTCCTCCTCCTCCTCCTCCTCCTCCTCCTCCTCCTCCTCCTCCCCCTTTTCCCCTTATGTAATCCTCCTCCTCCTCCTCCTCCTCCTCCTCCTCCTCCTCCTCCTCCTCCTCCTCCTCCTCCTCCTCCTCCCCTCGTTTTCCCTTAATACCATTCTTCCCCACCCGACGTGCCAGGAGGGCGGGCCCGGAGCTCGGGAAGCTTGCCATCTCCGACAGCTGCAGGGACGCAGGGGGGCCTTGCAGAACGGGGCTCTCGCCTCAGCGCCGCGCACGTTTGCCTCGAAACGCTGCAGCAGTTCTAAGGATGGGAGGGCATGTTTTCAAAATGGGGCCTCTTCACCTAGCGCCGCGCTCATTCGTCTCGCAAGTTTGCGACACTTGCCAAGGATGTGGGGGTCGTTGCTGTTGTCCCAGGCGAGGATCTTGCCTTCGCGCCGTGCACGTACGTCTCAAAAGCTGCTAACAGATACACGGATAGACAAGGGGGCGTTTTCAAAATGGGGCTCTCACTTTAGCGACGCGTTCATTGGTCTCGCAGATTTGGGAATGGAGGCTGTCTTCCCTCCTCAAATGGTGCTCCTGCCTTAACGCCGGCCACATTCGTCCTAAACGCCTGCCACAGTTACAACGATGGAGGGGTTACGTTTTCAAAATGTGGTTATCGCCATAGCGCCGCGCACATTCGTCTTACGAGGTTGGAACAGCTACCAGGATGTATGGCGGCTCACTGTATAGGAAGCGGTCGTAGCGCCGCGCGCCTTCATCGTAAAAACTTGCGACAGTTACATGGATGGAGGGCGGTGCATTTCCTGGAAGGGACTATCACTCAAGACTGACTTAACTGTAATAATGACCCGACACATAGCAACGTGTGCAGCCGTTACACGAGGGCAGGGCGACTCTTTCTTCAGAGAAGGGACACACCGTTGAACTGCACGATCAGATCTTTCGCACCACTCACTATTTTTAACATGGAAGGCGCTTCCTTTTAAAGCTAGGGGGCGCTCGCCTGAATGGCAAGCCCACGAGGTGTTCGTCCTCTCAAGAGGGGCGCTTCTTATAGCGATGAGAGAAACTGGTAGGGCAACTCGAGGCAGGGGCTTGGAACGGGAAGGTGTATTGCAGCAGCGCTGGCGCATCCTGGGTTTACTCTGGTCTTCCTCCTCCTCCGTTTCTTCCATTGAGCAGGGACCGACCGTCCCGGCATTTTGATAGTCCTACCACGAAATGTTCTTAGAACCCACAACTGTTCTAAGACAAAAACAATGTTCTTAGAACATGAACCGGATCTTAGTGGGCCCCGGAAACGGCAGGGCCGTTTCTTCACCGGTTCCGAAAAAGTCCCCCTTGAAAATGGAAACGTCAAACAAAACGGCGACCGGAAACGGCAACAAAAACAGCTCCAGGATTGGAACCGAAGCGGGAACCCGTAAAAGAACTGAACTGCGACGGAACCAGCAAAAAAACGGCGTCGGAACCGGCAAAAAAACGGCAAAACGACGGCAACACGGAACTGGTAAAAAAACGGCCCTTTCGTTTCCAGGGCCCACTAAGAGCCCGATGTGTTCAAACAAGACAGACTACGCCAGACATGTTCTAAGAACATCTCGTGGGAACCACAAAAGGTTCTTAGAACATTGTTGGGTAGGACTACAGGCGAACCAGGACGCTTCGCCACTGCTTGATTCTTCCAGCCGCGGGGCCATTTCCCCGCCTCGGCCTGGCGATCTCGACACGACAGCGGCCCGCGACGAGGAAGCGAGGCGGTGGCCAGAGGGCGGGCCGTCCTGGTGCCGGCGGGGGGGGGCGGCGGAGGACGGACGAAGGCCCCACCCTGGAGTCCTCCTCCTGTCCTCCGCCGCCTCCCCCTGTCGGGCTGGGCGAAAGGGGGGGATAGCCACAAGGGGGGTTTGAGAATCAGCCCACGTAGCTGATTTTCCCGTCGCCTCCCGGCGCCGGAGGCGGCCATGTATCGAGGAATGGGCCCCTCGGTGGGGCCGAAAACAGCTGCATGCAGCAGATTTCGTAACCCCCCCTTTCCCTATCCCCCCTTTCCCCTTAAGATCAATTAAATTTCAATTTATCCCCGAGGCTACATTTTCACAATCGAATTCAATTTCCCCGACGAGGGTATTTTTAACACTATTTCTCTGACACCATCGTTAATTAAAAGGTGAACGAAAGGCTAGTTTTGAAATAGCTATTTGTTTAACTGTGCCTCTGCCAAAACACATGTTTGTTATATTTATGTACATTCAGATATGCGCGCATGTATACTGACTACACTGAGCCCGTATATTGGTTGTGCGCCGCGCGTGTACATTTCGTCTCGTGCGTTTCGTGCGTATCTTGAACGATTGCTTACGCATGCGTATTTTGATTGCTCGCTCGTGGTTTGCAGGCGGAGACCTATGTATTTCGCGCTCAGATCCTCCTGATCCTTCTCCTCCTCCTCCTCCTCCTCCTCCTCCTCCTCCTCCTCCTCGCAGCTTTTCGGCTCCACCACCACCAGCGCAGTGGCCATGCCCGCAGCATCCCGCAGCGCGCCAGTTGTAGCGGGGGGCCGCCGCGCCCGCGCGCGATGCAACCCTGACGTCGTCGCCAGAGAGCCTCGCGCTCCTCTGCAAGCCTTGAGGCAGCGCGAGGGGCACAACGACGTGTGGAAGATAATCAGGCGCTGGCCGAAGCTGCGATTGCGCATATTTCTTGGACCGCGTGCGCATGTACACACACACACACTAATATGTTACGGTCGCCCGTGCACACATATGTGTATTTGCGTGCTCATAAATACGCAAGCGCACACATTGCATGGACGCTTTGGTGTCGCATCAACTTGCTTGTATACTGCTTGCTTCTCTGCTTGTATATTGCTCGCTTCGCTGCTTTGTACTTTGCTTGCTTCACTGCCTGGCGATTCCCCGTTCTCGCGAGGGACATTCGCATGAACGTAACGGCCAAGACGGCAGCAGAGCCCAGGGCCATGAGTAAGTTCAGTAAGATGATGTTGGAATTCGCGGGCATCGCGCCCAACCTGCTGCTGCCGCAGTCCAAGCTGCGCCAGGCGGTTGGGCGCGAATGCGACGAGGTAGATGTCGCTGAAATCCCCCCCACGCGCCATCGTGAGCTTATACTTTTTGTCACTTATGTGCGAGCCCCGCCCCTCGCAAGAGAAAGTCGACAAAACAGACATTGGTGACGAATACTTCTGCAACGCTGTGGACTGGTACACCAGGACGGCTTAGGCGCTCCAAAGCGCGCGCGCTTGCCCCTGCCAGCCCGTCCCCTGTAGCATTCCACCTGGACGACGCTTGCCACCAAGTCCCGGGCGTGCAAGAACGAGCAGGGGAAGTATGATGCTCTCGTTCGCATGGACACTGCCATATGTTTTACTTTCGTTTTCTCGCGCGCTATATATCCCCCCGCGCTCCCTCTCGCGCGCCCGAAGCTTTTCCAGGCCCGAGCCGTTGCGGAGGATATGGGGTCTTGGGGTCCGATGCCCAGGGGGGTAGGGCACATCGCTGCGGATTGGGGGCGGGCGTCAGAATCGGCGCACATGCGCATCGTGGCCACGATTTCCCAAGGCCGAGAAACCCCCTTCCACGCGCAAGATGAACGCCCGACGTAGCGCAAGAGCAGCAGCCAGAGGCATCTCCGTTTTGTGTTTGTTGTTTGCCGTTCGCTCAAAGTACATTTGGTGCGCTACATTGTTGCGTGCCATGGTAGTAGCGCGTTGTT